CTTGAAAAGTAGCTTAAAAAGGTAAAGGTTTCCCCTTGATGTTAAGTCCAGTCATGTCTGACTCTTGGGAGCGGTGCTCATCTCCATTTCCTAGCCAAGGGAGCCAGCATTTGTCCACAGACAGTCTCCGTGGTTATGTGGCTGGCATGACTAAACACCGAAGTGCACGGAACACTGCTACCTTCCCACCAAAGTGATACCTTTTTATCTACTTGCATTTGCATGCTTTCGAACTGCAAGGTTGGCAGGAGCTGGGACGGAGCAACGGGAACTCACCTCGTTGTACACATTCGAACCGGCAACCTTTCAGTCAACTAGCCCAGCAGCACAGCGGTTTAAACCACTGCGCCACCTGCATCCCCCAGAAGTAGCTTATGATTCTTTTAAATAGAATGAAAGATAATTTGGAGTTTAAATATAATTTTAACTTTAAAAAGTTCCCATTGGTGCATTGGCACCAATGGGAACATTTTAAACTAAGCTCTGAAGCTGTTACACATCGGTGGATAGAATTTGGGGAGGGCAGCTTGGGAGGAAAGTAGCTGTGGTTAATATAGAAACACAGGTGGTCACCAGCTTGAATTGGTTTATTGATGCCTCCACAGCCCTGCTCCGAGGAAAGGCCAAACATGCCGGCAGCTGTGCTGAATTAGTCTTTATCAAAAATATAGCTTTACAAGCTGTCATCACAGCAGGAACAGCAGGTCCTTTGTAAAACCAATGGGTGTCTGTTATCCACAGATGTTGAGATGAGAAGCCACCCCAAAATATTTTATCATTCCAACAGGAATAGCTCTTAATAATACACTGCTGCTAGGAAAATTAATGCTCTCCTCACTGCCCTGCCTAGCTGCTATGAGATTTGCAGCTAAGCTCAGAGAGAACAAGGAAGTTTGAGATGGGTTGCCCGTCACACCTAGTATTCAAAAGGCCCTAGTACTTCAGCCCTGTGAGCCTTGGCTCCTGTACAATAAAGGAATATACTTTCCCACCCTGAACTTTGCAAGCCTCCAGAACACCTTCTCCTCACAGCCTGGTGGTTGCAATTAATGAAAGTAATGCTATGCTTTAGGTGAAATATGCAGTTTGGCCCCAAGCCTAAACGCAGCTAAAACCACCAGATCCCTGGAGTGCCCTCTTTGGGTAAGCAGATGGGCTGCAAATCAGATAACTATCTCCCTGCCCCTCTGTCAGATTTTAGACTTGTTCTCCAGGTCCTCTTGCGCTCTGCAGATGATGGTGCTGTATAAGGGACAGATGATGGCAGTGGCGGCGGCCTGGGCACAGAGCAATTGCAAAGCAATTTATACTGTTGTTTTGGCTGCTAATGCAGTACCCTACCTTTTTCTAAATTTAAACCTAGCCAAGGTTATGTCAGCCTGTTCCCATGGAAATCACAGCAAAGGTTTCCCACTGACTTTGTCTTGCTTCCTTTACCAGCAGCATGGATAAAATTCCTCCGCTTGGTCTGCAGTAGAATTCGTATTTCTTTTGCAGCAAGTGTCTGTAGAACGCTCAGCCTGGAGCTGAGCCCCAGCCTCTGTTGCTGCCAGCACCCACTGTGCTTGAGAGCCGCTACCAAATCACTTGGCAAGAGGGTGTTTGGTCTGGTTGACAGGGACTCCATGCCGGTTGTTGGGAACATGACTGAGTGGTTGCTTGTGCATTAGGTCCTGCTGGTAAGCCTCCTGGAAGCAGCTGGCTGGCCACTGTGCAACCCAAATTCTGGACTAGAAAGACATTTGGTCTGATGTCCTTCTGTTCTAGGGTTGACCCAAATAGAGCAAAGGCCCAAACAGATGGCTGTTAGGTTAGCCTAATGATGTTAGGCTCATGTTGTTAACAATAATCAATCAGATTTTAATTGTTTGATATGCACTAACATAAAGAAATATTCATCCACCTACAGAAGAATCTACTCAGTCTGAACACAGAGCGCTTGAGGGCTGTGCTATTCTGTGTAAAGCTGAGCATGTTTTTTAATTGACATCAAGGACAAGCATTGCAAGCTGAACAAAGTTGTACCTCAATTCAGGTAGTTATGAACTTAGGCAACATCACTACTTATTGCCTGCTTATAGATATCCATACTTATGTCCCCAAAGGCCCCGATACTGGTGATAGTTAAGGAAGATCACCATCCTTATAGCAGTAATATTTTCTGATTTTGTCTGTCTTCAGCCATTAATGTGTAACATTGTGTACCTTAGACATTATACACAGAGTCATCAGGAATTGAAGGTGTCTTGTTCCTGTACACAGCTTTTTGTGCTACTGTCGTGCTGACTGAAAAAGTATTTTGAACACTAAGGAAATGTTCCAAATCAACCCCCTTTCATTTGAATCTGTCCAAATCAACCCCCCTTTCATTTGAAAATGTATGCCTCTACCCTTATAAATGACATCTCTAGAAAGAAATGTATGCCTCAGATCATACTAGCGTAATTCTATTTTTTCACTTTTTGAATTACAGGAGCATTCCACTTCAGCTCTGCAGGGGCTGGACAGATATTGTAAATGAATGTGTCGTCGTTGTTGTTGTTACATTTCAATTCCACCATAACTGAAGTTCTCTGGGCAGTTCACAACATTTAAGTCACCCATCCAGATTTCAACCAGGACTGACCCTGCTTAGACTTCCAAGATTAATCAGGATCAGGCACTTCAGGCTATAGAAACCTGCAATGTTTGTTAAATATGTTTTAGACTGAATTCAAGGTGATGTAAATGGCTTGCAGGCCCAGTTATCAGAACTCTAGGGACCTGAGTGGCAACTTAAGAGCTTACATTACTAAATTAGTAGGAAGAAATTGCTGGAACAAGCAAGCATGAATGGCCACAAGCACCAGACATAGGCTATACTCATCAGCAAGGAAAGCATAAAATCATGTACTGTTTAGAGTTGCCTCATGGAGATCACATTACAAAGGTAAAAAACAAAACCAACCCCATGCTGCCAACAGCAATAAATACTTTCTCCTCCCTACCCTGGTATGCGGTAGAAGGAAGTGCAACATGGAGACAATCCACTACAGCAATATGTTATGTAACAAACACTGCCTTTCTCTACATGTTGAGTAATTGTATAAGGACAACTGAAGGATGAGAGAGAAGAAAACAGCTGACTCCTTTTTTGCCTACATACCTCAAGTTTTCCACTTGTTCATTTTCATTCAACATTTGCTTGGCATACAAGATTATACTTGCCCTCTTGAACATGCTTCTTTCAATTGTATCTGAAAAGTGTCATATTTTCAAACAAGACCTTCATTAGTGTATTAGTTAACTGTTGAGCCAGGAATGGCTAGAAGCAGCTCACCGGGTGGCATCCTAGGCTTCCCATTATTTCTCAGCATAACCTAACCCACTTCATGGGGTATGTGAGAGGATGACGCTGGGTAAGATGACCATGTAACTTACCTTGAGCACCTTGGAGGAATACAACTCAACAGTAACTGTAGCAGCAACACGAAGGAATATTTCTAGTTATTGTCAGTTAAAAACAAACAAAATATCTGTTTTAACACCCGAGAGGCCAAAATTTACCCAGATGTTTCACAGAATATAGATGTGGTAATGCTTAACAGCTCTGTCTATTCTATTGTTATCATGCAGTTAGAAAAGCGCTCAAGCCCTATTGTGGGAAAACAACAGGATCTCTAAGCTACAGTCTTCAGAACACTGTCTTCACTTCAGGTAATAAATGGAACTGCAGGAAAATAACTGTAACATTAACTACACATACTCAGAGAAACTAAATAATTATTAAATGGAACAGTGAATCACTGAACTAAAGTTCCACATTGAAATTAATGTGTTATGTTTATGCAGCAATCTTACATGCTTACCTGGGAGAAAGACCCAATGAGCTGAGTGGGCATGCATAGGATTGCACTAGTTGCTGAAGCATGTAACAAAAGAAATTCAGTTGAAAACTTGCATTCATCGAATAATACAAATGCCAAAGTAAATGTATAATCGAGATAAATCCATCCACAAAGTTTTCTATGGTATTGTTGCTAGCAGTAGCACTCCCCCACAATATTTACAACTTCTACTTTTCTCCTAATCAATTATTGAATCTTCCTTGAAGAGAAACTTTGTTTCGTTCATACATTTTAAGGAGGGTTAGCCTACATATAACTGTAGTCAACAGTAGTAATAGCACACTGAAAGTACCTGTGTAATACCTCCACTCCTGTAATGGTTGGAGATGGGTTGGAATGGGTTTGCACCTATTTTACAAAGATGTGAGAAATAGCATAATAAAAAACAGGCAGTACGAATAGACTGAAATGCCCTATTTCTGATGAGAAATGTCAGAATTTTTTGCTTTATTACACTAATTTCCTGAAAACATTTGTGTGCTACTATGACATAGGCTACGTTTTTGTTTTAATTTGATCAGATTTCAGGCCATCACTTCTTATTTTTAGTAACAGTTCTCCATAGGTTAATTATTATAAAGCACTCTAACCAGGGCTACCTTTGTGCATTCAGAAATCACAATTAGTTAAAGACAGAGCCATAAGTCTATGAACTGTCAACAGGCTTTGAGATAATGTCTTGCCTTTACTGAGGCTATGTGTCCAAGCTAAGTTCTGGTGCTTTCTTTCAAGTAAGCTTACCTTACTCCTTGAAAGACCACTTTCATCTTTCTCAGGCCACACAAGCAACCAGGTTGTCATCTGGATGCTCCCAATGTCTAGGAAGACAGGTTAAAAACAGAGATAGTGTCTTCTCCATTGTAGAATCCAGCCTTTGGAACTTGCCCTGCTCTGATGTGGTAGACAAAGATCTTTTTATTCTTCCAGACTTAAAAATGTTGTATTTAATATGTTGTGCTGTTTGATTTCATGCTGTCTGAATGCATTTCATTATTATTAATTAATAATGACTATTAAAGCCACTGAGAGAGCACAAATGAGCAGAAGGTGGAGAATAAAAACATAACTGATCTACATTTAGAGGTATTCAGACTATTTTTTGCCCAACCCACAAACAGTATAATCAGTCTTTATTTATAACAATGGGAATCCACAACTGTGAAAAATGTGGGAACTTAAACCTAGTATGATAGTGTTTTGCTTTTTAAGTACAATTATTACATCTTCTTCAAATATAGCTGACATTGCAAATTCAAACTTTAACACATTAGTATTTTAGAGGTATGGCTGTAAGCTTAAATAGTAGCAGACTCAACAACAGAAACAGAGTGAGTCAGAAGGGTCTCCTGGGCCATCTAGTCTGACCCCCACTCCAGCCAGCTCCAGCCAGTTCCACTCATGACATGCCTACCAATCTTAAGACAGTATTTAGAACTTGATTGAATAAATTAAAGAATAAATATACAAACCCAGCCCCTTCAAGGGCATGCATTTTCAAACTACTGTCCTGAGCTACTAACTCAGAAAATATTCACTACTGAAATCCAAGCAGCCTTACACATTTATCTAGAAGATATTGACTTGAAATAGGGTAACTGTTTCCCATTTCCCCCAAAAACATGTTCTAGGGTTTGATGATCCTCCTGGACAGGAGTAAAGGTGACAGAGAAGGTAGCACAGGAAAGACAGAATCAGGGAAAATTACTCCCCACTTCTGTGAATGTTAATGCATCTGCTGGATCAAAAGCCACTGTACAACAGAACAGCCCATCTAAAATCTTATTTCTGGAAAGAACAGTGTTCTGCTGCTATAAGAATTGGTAGAAACTTCCTGCTCAGCAGCAGTTAAAAAAACTTTATTCATTTTCTTTGCTGGAAAAAGATATATTTGGCTAACTACTCACAGAACTTATTTTATTCCATCTTCCCAAAAGCAAACTAAAATACTACTACCCTTGCTTAATATGGCCCTAGTCAAGAAAACAATGATTTCCATCATTTTTCATTGTACTCACATATGATTAACTAGAATTAAAGCAGGTGTTTCAGTATTTTCTTAACACGACATCCTTTTCTGAAATTAGACCTTAACTAACTGTCCTGTAGCCTATTGGTTTGTCTTCTTATTTTGGTAGGTGTGTGAAAAAATCACTCACAAAACAGTTTCTAAACACAATTACCTTTAGGAGATTAACAAAGAATGAAACAAAGATAAACAGCTAGCATCTTCTGAAATTATTTTCAGATGATGTAATCCTGTGCATGTCTATGGGATGTTCAAAGGGGTTTACTTCTGGAAAGTGTGTATATGACTGCAGCATCCTTGTACTGCAGGCATGCAGATGTTCATTCTTAGATCTGGATATATTTGCATTTAAGAAACATAATACATGTGAGAAGCAGTTCTGACTTTCAAGGAATCAATTTTATGTACCTGACAGTGCACTGGAAGGTTATCAGAAATTATAGTTTGTTTGTGCATATAAAGCATAATGGTTAAGCTCCTCTATTTTTAGGTAAAAATGAATTTTCCAGTGCACTAATAAATTTTTGTTTCATTTGTGATTTAAATTGCCGATACCATTCCATAAGCTTTTTCCTCCTTTGAATCTTTTGCTGTAAGCTCATAATTTGCTCTTTTTCTAAAACAGCAGGAAGCTCTTTCCAGTTTTTAATAAAGATAAAGGGAGCTCCCATGGTCTTTAGTAATTGCAGTGGCGCACTGTGGTACACAGATGAATTTCCACAATCGCCTGGTGTCATTACATCTTCCACAACAGGAATGGAGCCAAATGAGCAGGCCTCATAAATTCTATAGCATTCTGTATTCACTCCCAATGGGCATAATGTGAGATCACTCTGTAGCAATGCATCTTGATAGTTTCGAAGGCTCTCATTAGTTTCTTGAGGCCACCACCTAGAAAAAGACAAAGGAGGCTGAAATGCACATTTTTCTCTCAAGGCCAAGAAGAAAACAAAAGGAAAAAGCCCAAATGCAAAGATCCATGCAATAGTTAGCTCAATTTATCTATTCACTGTAGCAATTGCAGTAGTAATATCTGCCTTGGATGCTGATATTTTACATCACTGTAAAATGTACTTTATTGCCTTAAAAGCCCATACTGATTAACTTAAGGAAGTCCATGAAAAGGAAACTTCCTATTGTCCCCTCCTCCCAACAGGAACCTGCACTCTGCTATCTCTTGGAATTTTACAGGACCTTCCATGCTTACAGTGTAATGAGAGGCTGCTGGGTAAGGGGCAATTGTCCAATTGGATTCTAACATATTATCTTAAGGAAGAGAGTAACATAACCCTTCCTGCCCTGGCAGCCCTTGTACCAGATCCCACATTGTACCGGAAGGTTTTCTAACTGATATGAAGAGACTTTCCGGAAGGCAGATGTGGCTGCTTCTTTAAATTAACTTATGTTAGGATCCAAACCATTACTTTCATTGTGCAATTATTTTGGCTTATGATCTTCCATCTTGTAGGCTAGTGAGGAACTGAATATAATTATTTAACAAATTAATAGAATAATAATAATTTTTTGATTGCCTGGGAGCCTTCTGTCCAAAAGTGTACAGAAACTAGAAACTATCACATAAAACCATCAGATCCTCAGTGATTTTGGCTATCCCTCCACCTCTATCATCGTTCCAGCAACAGCATCCTAATGTTGATATAAATCAAGACAAGCATCAATATTTTCAACTTTTCAGGTTGGTGTTCTTATGAACTACAAAAGTCCTTACTCTTCTCTGGCTGAAATCCAACAGAGTTTATGAAGTCTGTTTTGCTTCACTACTTCCAAGAGAGTCTCTCTTGTTGAATTCTTATAAACAGTTCCTAAAAAATTGCAATGGTATAACCTTGGCGTGTGGAGCATAGACCAGCTTGGCTCAACTACAGGAAAATTTCTATAGCTGTAATTAAAAAAAAAAGCTGCATAAGCACACTGATCAGGCTGTAAGAAGCATTTCACTATGTCTACCACAGGCTGCAATTCTAGACACACATACCTGAGTATGCGTAGGATTGCACTGCCCAACACATATTTTTTGTTTCCCCAAGCTCTGTTCCCCACCCATTCATCTATGTTTCACTTTCACTTTACTCAAAACTTTCAACGTTTTGAAGACACATCAACATTCACTGCCTTGGAGTCAGCTGGATGAAATGACATAGGCTTTGATTTCTTTGGAATTTCCATGCAACATCCTGAAAACATGTAGCAACCTGTTAATACATACAGTGCAATGCTTCCCGACCTCTTTAATGGTGTATTAATCCAACCCCCCGTTTGCCTGGCCTTATTCTTCTCCTGTCGAAGTCATTCATGGAATGAATGTACCTATAACTTTGTTTCCCCTTTCTCCTCTAGTTATAGTTATGCAGCGTTCACGGTAGTCTTTACAGGAAAAAACATGATGACTCTTCCAGCATAACTTTCATATGAACCACTTGCTTTGTTTTTCTATTGTTCCCAAACCTTCCAGGATATTTTGTCCATCTTTAAGAGAAATATAAGGACATGTACTAGTAATGCATGCGCACACCTAGAACTTGATTGTATTTGTTTGGTATCACTTTGCAACATAAGAGCTGCGGCAACATGTGGTCCTCCTTTGCCACTCTGGTAACAGTTAAGCATTGGGCTAAAGGGAAGGTTCCTGTGATGAAGCTCCTTTTCAAGTGAGTGCTGCTTGACTTGAAAAGGAGGCGGCAATACTGGCACGGAAAGAGCTGAACCATGGGATCCTCCTTTGGGAGTGACTAAATTGTGTAACTTTACCAGAGCAACATGAGAGGGTAAGATGCAGCAATGGCTCCCACACCACAGTTTAGTGAACTGTCACTTGAATGTCTACAAAACCAGTTTCCTTCATGCATGATTTGCAGGAAGAGGTAAAGTGAGTATAAAGAAGTTGTGGGATGGCCCCTTTCAGACTGCCCCTGACAATGCAGGGTTCTTCATGGACCTGTATCCATGCAGATATCTGAGGCAAGCAAGCATTCATGCACAGGCCTCTATGCATAAAGCTCTGCTAGGTTCTGGGGTTCTGCTCATGCAGCGCTGCAGAACCTAGTGAAGCTTCAGTGCATAGACGTTCACATTCATGTGAACACTTCTCTGCCTCAGATATCTAGAGGAATGTGTGAATAGGAGAAACCAAGAGAGCAGCATGGTTGGGGCAAGGCCCTGCAGACTCCCTCCACATGCTTTACACCTTGTTTATATCCTGCAATTTTGTTCTAATCTATTTCTGCTGCAGTTAAAGCGACTCTTTGACAGTGAGAAAAGTTTCATAAAGATATATTAGAACTGTTTAATTAAAATCCATACAATCCCAACTAGTTTTTATATATAATTGTTGTTCTAACATGCTTTGTCATGCTAGCCTCACTAAGAACTTTAGTAAAAGTGCCATACATATTGGAAGAAATAACACAACATGGGAAGGTGTAAAATGAGCAAGTGTAATCTTATACACATCGACTTAGAAGTATCTTCCACTGTGTCCAATGTAGCTTACTATCTAATAAGTCTGTTCAGGATTTTATACCCTTTCATATAAAATCACTTGTGCTCTTTGAATATGAAAACCCAACAGAAAAACTGAAAAAAACAGTATTAAGTATAGTAATGTTCTACTGTTTGTATACTAGTTTTTAGAACAGCAATTCCACAAGGCTTATATGTTCAATCTACATTCCATTTTAATCAATGTTATACATAATCATGACTAGGGCACAATTTTCAGGTCACATAGCAAGGTGTAAACTATTTCCTTTATCACATTCAGCACTTACGTTGCTACTCCCAAAGGCCACTGGAAAATATCTTCTTCATTCACTAAGGGGCTGTCATAAATTACAAAGAGAAGGTCCACAAACCCGCCATAGTTTTTTAAGTAAGGATAAATCCATTCATTTCTGCACTGTTCACTTCCGAGCAAGACAACAGCAGCATGCTTCAGTTTCTGAGTCTGTGCTAATGTTTGTGCATAATGCAGCCACTGAGTGGCGTAGGAGATCTTTCTACCATTCAGCACTAAAACCACATTGTCAGCTTCTACTGAGAAGTAGCCAGGGACAACAGCTGGACCAGTAATGAAGCTGTGAACAAGAAATGACAAACGTAAGTACAAGTATAATAAACAGTTTTACAGCATACATATGTACAGAATGGATCAAATGGGTAATTTAAATTGAAGTTGCCACTGCAATCTCACTGATACTCAAAATGATTTTGCTCTGTTCTTCTATGCAGTGCAGTCACTGTAGAACTGGCCCAACAGAAATTAAGACCAAGAAAAAGCATTTGTCCTACACAGATGGTTAATGTCAACTCTCAGTGTCCTGTCCCCAAAGCTTTGTGTGTTGAAAATATGTATACAGAGTGAGGTGTATCTGCTACTCTATCCTCCTGTTCTAGCTAGATGGCCAATGTTGGCTATTTAGCTATGGAACTTCAGAAGGGAAGAGAAGGGAAATGGAGTGCTGTCCAGATGCTGCACATCCTGAATTGCAACTTTTTCTCCTTCTTTGTGGTTGATTTTTCCAGCCTTAGAAAAGGAGCTAGTACAGTTCCTTCTGTGTCAGGTGCAAGGTAACACTGATCCATAACTCCAGAGTCAGAGCTCTGCTTCCAGCCTGAGAACCTGGAGTATCTTATGATCCCTAGATGTTGTCCAGGATCGCTCTCCCTGTTGCTCAAAGTAGATTTGTGCTCTATTTTCTTGCCTACAAGAAAAGACTAGAAATAATTTGAAAATATAGGATCATGTCAGAATAATTTCAACTGATTCAAGTTGCTCAGACTTAGAAAAATACTCCTTAGAGACACCAGAAAGAATAATGTTTTATATACAGATATTGTGGGATCTCTTCATTAGACTAATTAATATAATGGGGCGGGGAAGATCAGAGCACTTCAGACAAGTTTTTATTGTGCAAGTGCTTCCTTTCATTCATCAAGTTCTATAGATAGACCAAGTATTGTTGTGCTCAACTGATAAGTCTTCCCTATCTTCTTATTTTTCTTACTGTAGAAAACCCTTTAAGAAAAAAGGTGGAATAACTATCAAAGCTTTTTGATTGTTAGCACTAGGACCTGTCTGACTAGTATAGAACATTTGTCAAGGCTGACAATTATTTTCTGACAACTGTTCACATTTTCTCCTACCATAATTTAATATCTGAGACATACTGCCTTCTTTTCTAGTCCCTTTCTTAGTTGCCATGTAGCCTTGTCTATGTGGTCTCAGATGGCACAGCTTCCAGGCTAGCTGCAGCCCTCCACGTTCTTGACCCATCTAGCACTTTCCCCCCATCAGCTGCACTATTGGCCCTTCCTTACATGGCTTATAACCTGACTACAGGTGAACATCAGCCTTCCCTAACCTGGTACCTTCCAGATGTTTTGAACTTCAGTTCAGATCAATCCAGCCAGCATAGTCAATGATCATAAATGCTTGGAGTTCTAGACTAAATCATCTGGAAGACAACCAGATATTTTAAGTTTATTCAGTTGGTAATATTAAACACACAAGCAATTAACCCCTTAGACAAATTAATCATTTGCTAGAATGGGACAACTTTAAAACCAAAAATTCCAATATAAGATATAGTATGGAAATTTGCTTTAAAGTATTTTCCTTGAAATATTTCTAATAAGAAAATAAGATACATTGCTATTGCTTTATATGAGACAAATGCCATCATGGTATTAAGTGCACAAGCTTTTAGAAGCTTTACTCCAATCTCTCTCGATTCACATTCCTGCATATTCCAATAGTGCTCTTACGCAAAGCTGTCTTCAATTAAGAGGATGTATGAACCTTGTGCCCCTTTGCACATATGGAAACCTCCTGATTCACTGGTGTAAAATACTGGTACAGGTGCTGCATGTAAGAAACCCCTATATTTGGATTTCTCAATTTCCTTCCTTCAGCATTCATAGTTAATTTGTTATAATAGTAAGAGTGTTTAATAACTTCTGTCATTTTCCTTTGCAAAAGAAAAAAGGAAAAATGGAGAGATCTAGAACATTTACGAGCCTCATACTGGTTTTATAATTAAATAAGTCACATTTATAAAATAATCTAAGTTTGAATATAACTTCTCCAAATTATTACTTTAGCTGGATGGATTTTTAAAAAATTCAAACAGACCGTATTTCATATGTTTGAATTGCTACCAGTTCTTCTAAACATATTTTTACTGATCACCAATAAAGGCGTTTCAGTCAAAGCTATCAGCAGTGAGGAAATAACCATTTCAGCCTTTAGTGGGAGAGGTTAAAGCTTCTCTCACTCTGCATCAACCCCGATCCAGATAAAACAGCAATAATTTAAAAGAGAAGTCCAGTAAAAACAAAGCAGTAAACACATTTTTCAAATCAGGAAAGCCTTCAGAGAACATCTGAAAATGGGGGAAATTGTGAACTTCCATTTTCACAGAGATAAAGTTGCACAGACATGTGGTTACCACTGAGAAGGTCTCCTCTGATTCTACTCAACTGGATCGTAAATATTTTTTCAAGAGCAAAAATATTTTAGATTTGGTCTGTAGTCCTACACTTACCTGGGAGAAAGATCCACTGAACTTCAGTAGACATATACAGAATTGCACACTCAGGGTGCAGTTCAATGAGGCTGTCCCATAATTCCCCTGAACCCTGGGATTACAGATGTCCTATGAAGGGCAGAAGAAGTGCAGAGGCAAAGGTCATCTTGGCACTTCTACCTACAAATATTGGCTGTTTAACTGTGGGCTTGGAGGCAGAGGAAAGGAGGCTGAGGCACCACCAAGTTACATCATATCTTGTCAGTTCTGATCCCTTTCATTTCCCTAATAGTTCTTCTCTTCTGCTTGATGTTTAGAGTAGCAACCGCTAAGAGGGGTGGGGAGGGTGGTCTGAGGGTGGAGACCCAGCTTGGATGCTGAAGCTGTTTTCCAACACTGGAGTTGGCATTCTGAAAAATCCTTCGACCCTCTAGATGCTGCCTAGAGAGCCGTAGGATCACTCTGCACAAGACTAACAACTAATTCTAGATTTTAGTGAGTGTGCTACCTTCAACGTTCCTAAATGGTACAAAGGTTAGAATTCTGAACACCTGAAATTTGAATTCAAATCTCTGCTTTGTCATTTCATCACTATTTCACAGCCTCAGTTCCCATTTATTAAAGTGTTGTAAGGTACTGGTCTCTCTCTCACATAAGAGCATTGCTAGGATGAACAAAATTAAGGCCAAAAGCACTCTGAGCAGTGTAATGCTATATAATTATTACTGTATTAATAACTGAAATATTCCCTAAAACATACATCAATATTCATTTACTGCCATGTTTGTATATACTGAAACTTCAGAATCTGAAATTCTTTTCAGTATTCTTCTCACCAAACATCTACACACTTATCTTGAATAAATCAAGATAAATTCCATTTCAAGGCACAAAATGGATACCAAACTATGGCTTCCAGTTCATGTACCCTCCCATTCCAGTACAGTTGTGAGGCTTAGAAACTTTTGCTTCTATTTTCATTTAACGGTGGTTTATTTTTATGACAGAATAGGAAACTACAGTTAATTGTAAGTATAATTTAGGGAAAAAACCAAGATTATAAAGCACAATTTGAAGTTGGCATGTTTCCCTTAGTCAGAATTCTTTATTGCAAGGCTCAAGAATCACTAGCAATTGCAGCTCTTTGCCTCTCATTCACCCACAAGCCAAAACGAAACAAACCCTGCCAAAAGTGAGCAGTGACTGCAAGAAGAGTTGCTTTATGCCCTAGCTGCTCACTTCCGGCATGGTTTCTTGAGCTCTTCATTTCTTTGCTTTAATGCTACGATGGCTACTGTGATCTTGAGGTGGCTTTGGGAGTGCAGAGTCTGCTGTTTGTCAGCTCAAAGGTGACTGAGTGGGGTGAAGAAAATGCAGGAGTAAGTTGCCAAATTAGTTGGGCTGGGAGAGGAGCCTAAGCGGGAGAAAGTGCCTTTGACTGGCTAATGGCAGTGAAATGCCCTCAAGATGCATAGGTGGCCCTAAAGATTTGCCCTAAAATGAAAGCAAAAACTTCTACACCCTCGTGGTAAGCACTTGCTTTCTCCCCTACTGCAGGTAATGTGTGTCAGCACAGAGCAGGCAGGATCCAGGCAAATCCCACCTACCACATTTGCTGCTGAATGATAATCATTAGTCAACACACAAAATCATATTAAGTATCTTCACTAGGCTATGAAATACTATTATGTATAACTTGAAAAGTACTACCATATCCCTTATACCTGAAGAATGATTTTCCTGCTTTCATGCTTCCTTCTCTCCATTGAGCTGATACATCAGCAGGTTCAAGCAGACCTTCAAAGATATGCTGCCATAGGTAAAGGCCTATAAAAACACCAATTTTGATGCAATAATTAGGAACATATTTGACTGTAATAAAAATCATGGGAAAGATAAAAACAGCTAAAGCAGATTGAATCCATGAAATGGCACAAATTAACAAGGTCTGTGCTACCAGTAGATTTGGAATGAAAGTACAATTTGAAAATATAAACCATGGAAAATAAAAAGAAGCCTCACAGGCGTGCTGGTACATGTAATAGGGCTCCTTATACCAACTATGGACTCATGGTCTATAGTGCCTCATAAGGTCATGCTTGTAAACTGTGCTGCTTCTGAGCATGGCTTTTCCTCTGCTTTCCCAGTGCTGAAAAGTGAGTGGTTTGGGGAGCTCTGAAAAGATACTGAGGCCTCCAGGACATCTCTCAGCATTGCAAGGGGAAAAAAGGAGAGGTTTCCCTCTTCCATTCAATGTACAGAAAACAAGTGGACTGGAAACGAATGACAGGAGTGTTCTCCGTTGCAATTGAAAGCCGCAGACAAATTTTGCGAGGTTGAGGCTTAGCCCATGCAGCACAAGCCTCTCTGTCTCCCACAGTTGGGAAGAATTCAGGGGCTCAGAAGGAATGACAAGGTTATTGCCACTGCACATCAGTGTCTGCCACCCGAGACATGTGCTTTACTCTGCCTAATGAGAAGGTCAACCGTAGTCATAGTGTTACTCACACAATTTTTTTCAAGAATCATTCATAAGTTATAACAAAAGTCTGCTAACTATGCAAACAAGAAAACCATACAACTAAAATCCCCTTTATTGACCACTGCAGGTTTTATCATAAAGTTTGTACCAGATATTTTATTTTTCTGTCAGCGGTATCCAAGTTGATTTTTAAAACAAGCTGGTGGGCAATCTTACACCCAATTTTACAAGAAAAATGTGCAAACAACAGAGCATTCTTAAACATTTTTGCTCAAAAGGAAGCCCAATGAGGCTTACTTCTAGTTGAGTATGTTGGCATTTAGTTTAAGGCTATGATCGAAAATATGTCCAAGTAAATAGATCCACTAAATGCAGTAGGACCTGAAAGGAGAAATGTTTAGGGTCAAGCTTAAAGAATAAGCAGCATGACTTTATTAATTACAAGTGCTTACCAATAGCAGCTTTTCCCCAGATTTGTACCCTAAGGTCTGTTTGTTCTTTTTGCAATTTCAACAACTGGAAGCTATTTCCAGACTTCTGTTGCAAATCATTTTTCTCATCTACTTCCCAAGGATTCCATTCTTCAGCTCCCAAAACTGCATGTTCTAAGTATCAAATGTAGAGACTACATGAACATCCAAAAGAGAAAATTACATTTGAACTTCCCAGAAATAATTGTTGTTACAAACCCATGCTGTATGCAAAGTAAAACTATAACATAAGTGCAGCAAAGTTTTTCCTCCCCTAAGTACCTTAAAATAAGTATGTTAAAAAGAGCTGCAGCTGACTGGAAGGGGTTTTGTATTAAAAAAAAAATCCTATTTCAATCCTGGCTATCACAGGTCTCAGAATGACCCCTGTCTGAAATCTGGGAAAGCCTCCGTCAGCCAATATAGGCTATGTTGAGCTATATGGATGCCAATGATCTATACCAGTGATGGCGACCCTTTTAGAGACCAAGTGCCCAAACTGCAACCCAAAACCCACTTATTTATCACAAAGTGCCAACACTGCAATAAAACCTGAAAATTGAGGTTTTAGTTTAGAATAAACACCTCACAGCCAGTCCAAGCAAATGTGTATATATCCTAGGAAGGGAACTGACCTCCTTCCTGAGCATGCGCATGGCCCCTGTGTGCGCTGTTATCCGATGGCTGGCTGCTGGGGTGATGGGGACTTGGCTTGTGTGCTGACACACGTGCCATACGTTTGCCACCACTGGCCTAACCTTACCCTTGTGTACTCCCCGAACCCTAATATAGGACTAAAAACCAGTGAAAGAGTTGATTTTAAAAAAGCCTTCCTTGAGTAGCTTTTTCTGCACAGCTCAACATTTCTGTCCATTCTAAACACATTCCAACCATCAAAACCATGCCAGGACACCTCATTTTCCTAACCCTAACCCTACCCTGCTGCACACCCCTAACCCTAATATAGGGCAAAAGTTCCATTGAAACTTGGTATAGACCAGTGGTGCCCTGTCACCACTGGTCTGTACCAAGGAATCAGTTGAAACTCCATTCAGTAGACCTTTCTTTCAGCCCCTCTTCCTCTCCTCATCTCTCCTATCTATCTATCTTATCACCAGTCCTTAACTTGCCTCCAACTGTTCAATCGGATTTACTTCGGGAAAAGTTTGTTTAGAGTTGCAGCCAGAGTCTAAAGGCGAACAGTCGTGGTTCTTTTTCTGCCTTCAGCCATCAGCTGAGAGGCAATGCTGGCCGTGAAACAAGAGAAAAACCTGCACAGGGACGGCCTGCATTTCTTAATGCCAGTGCACTGCACTGAGACTTCTGCCGCTTGCCTCAATGCAGACGTCAGCGCAGAAGGGGCTGAAGTTACCAGCAGGAGGCAACCATCCCTAGCCCGCAGAAAGAGGCGGCCCGGGCTATGCGGGGCGGGGGCCCGGTGGGGCGGAGAACGGGAGGCAGGAAGGGCAGAGCAGAGCGGAGGGAGGGAAGGAGGTGGGCAGGGCGCCGTTCTGTTACCTCCTCGCCCGTGTTTCTCCCTCTGGGCCGCCCGAAAGGCGGTGGGACGGCGGGGCTTCAGAAAGACACTGTAAGCCGCATAAAAGGAGAAGAGCAAGTAGGCGACCAAGAGCGCGGAGCACAACCGCTTCCGAGTCAGCCGCATCCTTCAGGGCCCTGCGGGAGCCGCCATATTGCTCCAGAGAAAGACCCCGCTGCGTGACGCGCATAGGCAGCTCTGCGCGCGCCTGATTCACGAACGGGGAATGCGTTGGCGGCGAAGAGCGTCCGCGAAGGCATGGGCTGGGTCGTGCAGCGCTTTTGCTTACTCCAGTGGCGCACGGCTGTTTATGCTTGGCTTGAGACCTGAACAGAGGAAGAGTGCCCTTATACCGAGTCAGACCATGGGTCCATCTAGCCTAGGCAATGATCAACGGCTGCTCTCCAAGCTTTGAGGCACGATTCTTTCCTAGCTCGTACCTGGAAATGCTGCGGATCGGGCTTGCATTCAGCCAACGCAGTGCAGCCCCACCAAAAAACAGTAGACCACACACGATTTCCACCTGTTGCAGACCTTCGTTCCGTGTAGTCCAGTTTTGTCTGTGTTGCTTGGCAGTGACTTTCCTGTCCCGCATGCAATGCCCTGCGCTCCTCCTACCAAACTATGGCTTCTGCCTACCCCGGCTACCTGGTTGCACCCGGAGGCATTAGGTGTAGTCAAGCTTTTCTTGATCAGCTAGCTAACATTCCCCCCTCCTCGAAGGCATGGCTGGTTGTGCCTGTACAAGTAGGCACTGCTCCCGATGTACGAGGGCATTCCCTTAGCTTCCCGGTTTTTTCATCTGCAGTTGATGTTCTGAATTACAGGCGATCCAGACCTTCTGAGCAAATATCCTTGTTCGGAATGTCTAAAGGACTCCTCAGCCCCCTTTCTTGGCCAGTCTCCCCCCTGCTCCTTGATTCTGCCCTGTGGTCTAGACACCGGATTTAGCACCACAATTCACCAAACACCGTGTTGGTATAAAAGACAAGTATTTTTATGTAAAGGAAGGGAGGGGAGACTGGGATACAGAAAGCAAAAGAGAACGGGGGAATATATAGCAACAATGTTCAAGGGCATAACAGCCCACTTAGCTCCCCTTTCCTTAGCAGACAGACTCCTTAATCCACATCAAAGAAAACAAGAAATCCGGCCTTGTTCTAATGTTGTGTATCTAATGGGTCTCCTTAGAGCATTGCTGGTCAGGGTCTAAATACTGCATTGCATTTCACTCTTAATCTGCTAACAAAGAAAAAACTAAGACGGCTGTTTAACGTTACTGGCTATTGAAGTTGCTATGGTAGGAACTTCAGTAGATTAGAACAGCCTTACCCTATTCCTCATCATTCCCAGTCAGCATGGTCATTGGCTTTGATGGCTGGGTGTGACAAGAGTTCTTATCTGGAGAGCACCAGGTTGTGGAAAGCTAGGATAGATGCGCTTGAATAGTAAGATGTCATGTTTACCAATAGGATCATTAATGAATGTTAATTGGGTGGATTTTTCCACACTGCTATGGATGAAGTGAAGATTCTGATTTGCAGGTCTTTGTACATGCAAATACCAGAATTTGCTGTAATGCATCATTGCCAATAAAAGTTTAGGTGGAAAGCTTTAATCATAGTGTTACAGCAATTTCAGTTAGGCCAGGCAAGCACAATGTCTGCCTTTTCTACAGAGCTACATTAAAATGTCTGCCACTGTTGGGTGACATGTACTGGGCCTTAGAACTTGAACACACAGTATACAACACAACATCCTACGGGGATCTTTTCAGCTGCATTGTTCTGGTGTAGAACCACTAACACCAGAGAGTTGGGCTGAGAATACTGATTTTACTAAGAGTAATGTGCTCACCAGTTCTCTGTATTGTGCAAACAGAACTTGCACTAGGTATACAAGATCATCTTTGTTTATTCTGTGTTAATTCATGTGGAACATTTACCACCTCCTATTTCCATGCAGTCCCAAGCTGTCAGAATCCTTATTTTGTGAACAATGGTACAACTGCATAAACACATGAAAACCAGGAGACATTCAAAATGATTCCAAAAGGCTCAAGATGCTGGAAAAATAGTTTATTATTTAAGACTTCTCAATATAATATTTTTCCCACCATCTCAAGACTGTTTCCCTCCTTTTGGATCAACAATTGCATAAATCATTTTTATGAACTCTTTTTATGAGTAATCAGGAAGACAGACTTCTATCATGAACTATTTATACTGAACTCTTATCTTAAACAGCAAATAATAGGTTTTATTGGTTTTGGTAACCCAGTTCCTATCTGAATAAGTTTGTGGTTGAATGGTAATATTTTAATTTCAGTAAAGGAGAAAGCAGCATTTCTGATGGTTTACAAGACTGGACCATAAAAGTTACCAAGTATTTTTCATGTTTTAGAGCAGATATTTCAGGAGATACATTTGCATTTATCCTACATCATCAGTTTGTAATTTGGAGTTTTATGAACTTAAACTAAATAATCTCTTACCACTTTCATATGAAAAGAGGGGGAATAGATGTTCTAATCTGTTGATGCTTTGAATGTAAGCCATTTTTGGTATGACCTGTATTCATGATCTGTGCACATAAGAATATATACTCAGTGGGTTTTTTTAGGTGTTCACAAAATAATAATAACAATAATGCAGTAGAATAATTAATAAAGTTTAGAATACTGACTTCTGATGAAGTATGCTTTGATTTGCACTGTTAACATTTTCTGCCTTAATATTGCTTACCTGCCTTTGCACCAACTGAGCTCAGTGTTAACTTCAAATAGACCATGTATTTGAAGAATGATTTTGAAACCCTATGGAAGTACTGAATCCATTGTGAGCTCCTCAACTGAAAGTTTTAAATTCCATCAAATGCCCTGGAGCACCCAGAATGAGTCCAATGGATATCCTAGGGCATTGTGGGTAATTTAGCATGGGAGTGGTTTTCAGGACCTTGCTACTAAGTAAGCCCACAGCTGAGGGAATTATCAGCACAGGACTACATGTGGCTACTTTGCTGTATCCTCCTCAAACCTAGAGGCAGCCTTTTTACAACATTGTGGTGATTTTAGAGGCCATCTGTTAGCCACTTTGATGGCGTAGAAGTATTCTCTGCATTATTTTCCCTTGGCTTCCTCTCAATAATCAACATACCTGCTATCCATGTGTTTCTTCTATCAGTTTGGGCACTGTTTGTTAATGATGCTAATGCTCCAGTCCTTTTCTTCCTAAAATCCTGGAGCTGAGAGCCAACTGCTTTTTCATCCATTTTTGCTGTCTCTTGCTTGCTTTTTCGGATGGAAAGATCCTGTAGGCTAGATCAGGCTTGTAGCCTAGAATCAAATTAGCAGAGTATTATTATTATTTTTGCAAAACTCATATAAATATGTGGGTTTATGGAAACAGCTTCTCATTTATGTAAGACTAATTTTAGGGAAAGACATGGTACTGTGTCTCCTCTGATTTGATATAGCAATATAGGATAGCTACTCTTAGAACAGTGGATGTTTAAGACACGCTGAAGGCACACTCTATTCACTTAGTCCTACTGCAGTCCCCAGCATTACCCAGCTGCCACGCAGTCCTAAGATTTACTTGGGAGCAAGCCCCATTGAACTCAAGAATAAACATATGCAGGATTGCATTTAAGTGTAGCACTGGTCACTGTACTTTGCCTTAACAGAAACACTGATTTTATCCTGCAGGGAATCTGTTACTTTGTTTAATGGAAAATCTTCATGTGAAAGCCCTTCTCAGTAGAGACTGTAAACAGCTTTATTGAAACATGTCTTGTTTTACTAGCAAAGTAAACTGCTTGGAAAATGTTTTGTTTGGAAGCAAAGATAAATAAATACATTTGCAAAAAGATGGTAACTGTTTTATTTTTATTATCGCCTTTACTTAACATTTTTCTTTATAGCACAGATAATTCTGTGTCTTTTTGCTAGAGCCTCCTTGAACTTTATTTTTGCTAATTTCTCAATTAATGGGAATTGCATTTTCTAATATTGTATTACTGACATATAAACTGTTCAATCCCAACATGATTTTTTCGGAGAATAAGGAAAGGATGTGATCATCCCCTGACCTTGTACCTGTACCTGACCTTTCTTTGGTCCAGCTCAGAGGCAGGCAATGTGGTGTCCCCGGGATATTTTGGCCTACAACTCTGTCAAGCCCTAGCCAGCATGGCCAATAGTCAGGCATTCTGGGAGTTGTAGTCCAGACCATCTAGCGATTACCATTTATAGACTGGAAGAGGTGTCAGCATGCTCCTTAAGCACAGATGGTTTAACTGGGTGCACTACCTAGTTTTGCTAGTGGCAAACAGGGCTGAGTAAGGCTTCAGGTATGAGCTGTAAACTTTTGATGAGGCTGTCATCATCTTGTCCCCTCAGCTGCTATAGCAAGCAGGACTTTTGACATTTACATTTTCTGCAGAACAGATGGCAGACGGTTGGATGCTAAACAGCCTAATGAAAAACCCAGTGGCTGAATAGATGCGTTGTATGCAGCTGTTCTTAGGATAAGTGCTTGCATCAGTTGAAAATCCTGCAACTTTTCTTCTTGCCAATGAGTTATGCCTGTGTTACAGAACCTATGCAGTGGCTTCCAGTGTCCATTAAGGCACAAATCAAACTGCTGGTATTGGTTCATAACCCTGTAATGGTTTAGGACCTCACCCCATCTTCTGTTTAATATCCCATTTCAATCCTTAATGCTATCTGTATTGCTAAGTATGTATTATGCTTCATAATGCTGAAACAGATTTATCCTTGGAAATTCATCAAAGACAGAGCAGATAAACTTTTGGGAGTGGTGTAAGTGCTGTAACTGGGATTGAGAGGGTCAAGATCACTTTTTAGCCAAGTACCAGTGCTATCCCCTACCTGCCTATGAAGAAGGAAGATTCCCAGGTAGGTGTCCATTTGATGGCAGTGTAAATGGTTAGTGTAATGGAATTGGTTTACAATGGGTTGCATGAAATTCGATAAGCACTTTAACTGAGAAGCTACTCTTGCTTATTTCCCCAGTTCTTTTACATTTTTTCAAAGCTTACACCACAGTGAAAGCAAACCTGGCACTGTGTGTAATATATGCCTAGTGTGTGAATACTGTTTCATTTATTTTACTATATTTTATACTGCCTAATA